CCAAATCTAACCGTGTATTTAGGTTTTTAATTTTGGGTCCTGTTTTTTAAATTGGTCTACATTGAGGTCCAAAGGGTCCAAAATTAAACTCAGTTTGATTTTAACAAAAATTGAATTCTTGGGGTTCTTTGATTTGCTGAATCTAAACATGTGTTTAGATTTTTGATTATGGGCCCAGTTTTCAAGTTGGTCCATGATAGGGTCCAGTATTTAAACTTTGTTTGATTTCAACAAAAATTGAATATATGGGGTTCTTTGATATGCTGAATCTAAACATGTATTTAGATTTTTGATTATGGTCCCAGTTTTCAAGTTGGTCCAAATTGGGGTCCAAAATTAAACTTTGTTTGATTTCAACAAAAATTGAATATATGAGGTTCTTTGATATGCTGAATCTAACCATGTATTTAGATTTTTTATTTGTAGGCCCCGCTATCAAATTGGTTCATATTGAGGTCAAAAGGGTCCAAAATTAAACTTTGTTTGATTTCATCGAAAATTGAATTATTGGGGTTCTTTGATATGCCAAATCTAACCGTGTTTTTAGATTTTTAATTTGGGTCCCGTTTTTTAAATTGGTCTTCATTGAGGTCCAAAGGGTCCAAAATTAAACTTAGTTTGATTTTAACAAAAATTGAATTCTTGGGGTTCTTTGATATGCTGAATCTAAACATGTGTTTAGATTTTTGATTATGGGCCCAGTTTTCAAGTTGGTCTAAGTTGGGGTCCAAAATTAAACTTTTTTTGATTTCAACAAAAATTGAATATATTGGGTTCTTTGATATGCTGAATCTAACCATGTATTTAGATTTTTTATTTGTGGACCCTGTTATCTAATTGGTTCATATTGAGGTCAAAAGGGTCCAAAATTAAACTTTGTTTGATTTCATCTAAAATTGAATTATTGGGGTTCTTTGATATTCCAAATCTAACCGTGTATTTAGGTTTTTAATTTTGGGTCCTGTTTTTTAAATTGGTCTACATTGAGGTCCAAAGGGTCCAAAATTAAACTCAGTTTGATTTTAACAAAAATTGAATTCTTGGGGTTCTTTGATTTGCTGAATCTAAACATGTGTTTAGATTTTTGATTATGGGCCCAGTTTTCAAGTTGGTCCATGATAGGGTCCAGTATTTAAACTTTGTTTGATTTCAACAAAAATTGAATATATGGGGTTCTTTGATATGCTGAATCTAAACATGTATTTAGATTTTTGATTATGGGCCCAGTTTTCAAGTTGGTCCAAATTTGGGTCCAAAATTAAACTTTGTTTGATTTCAACAAAAATTGAATATATGAGGTTCTTTGATATGCTGAATCTAACCATTTATTTAGATTTTTTATTTGTAGGCCCCGCTATCAAATTGGTTCATATTGAGGTCAAAAGGGTCCAAAATTAAACTTTGTTTGATTTCATCGAAAATTGAATTATTGGGGTTCTTTGATATGCCAAATCTAACCGTGTTTTTAGATTTTTAATTTGGGTCCCGTTTTTTAAATTGGTCTTCATTGAGGTCCAAAGCGTCCAAAATTAAACTTAGTTTGATTTTAACAAAAATTGAATTCTTGGGGTTCTTTGATATGCTGAATCTAAACATGTGTTTAGATTTTTGATTATGGGCCCAGTTTTCAAGTTGGTCCAAGTTGGGGTCCAAAATTAAACTTTTTTTGATTTCAACAAAAATTGAATATATTGGGTTCTTTGATATGCTGAATCTAACCATGAATTTAGAATTTTTATTTGTGGGCCCCGCTATCAAATTGGTTCATATTGAGGTCAAAAGGGTCCAAAATTAAACTTTGTTTGATTTCATCAAAAATTGAATTATTGGGGTTCTTTGATATTCCAAATCTAACCGTGTATTTAGATTTTTAATTTTAAGTCCCGTTTTTTAAATTGGTCTACATTAAGGTCCAAAGGGTCCAAAATTAAACTTAGTTTGATTTTAGCAAAAATTGAATTCTTGGGGTTCTTTGATATGCTGAATCTAAACATGTGTTTAGATTTTTGATTATGGGCCCAGTTTTCAAGTTTGTCCAAGTTGGGGTCCAAAATTAAAACTTTGTTTGATTTTAACAAAAATTGAATATATTGGGTTCTTTGATATGCTGAATCTAACCATGTATTTAGATTTTTTATTTGTGGACCCCGTTATCTAATTGGTTCATATTGAGGTCAAAAGGGTCCAAAATTAAACTTTGTTTGATTTCATCTAAAATTGAATTATTGGGGTTCTTTGATATTCCAAATCTAACCGTGTATTTAGGTTTTTAATTTTGGGTCCTGTTTTTTAAATTGGTCTACATTGAGGTCCAAAGGGTCCAAAATTAAACTCAGTTTGATTTTAACAAAATTTGAATTCTTGGGGTTCTTTGATTTGCTGAATCTAAACATGTGTTTAGATTTTTGATTATGGGCCCAGTTTTCAAGTTGGTCCATGATAGGGTCCAGTATTTAAACTTTGTTTGATTTCAACAAAAATTGAATATATGGGGTTCTTTGATATGCTGAATCTAAACATGTATTTAGATTTTTGATTATGGGCCCAGTTTTCAAGTTGGTCCAAATTGGGGTCCAAAATTAAACTTTGTTTGATTTCAACAAAAATTGAATATATGAGGTTCTTTGATATGCTGAATCTAACCATGTATTTAGATTTTTTATTTGTAGGCCCCGCTATCAAATTGGTTCATATTGAGGTCAAAAGGGTCCAAAATTAAACTTTGTTTGATTTCATCGAAAATTGAATTATTGGGGTTCTTTGATATGCCAAATCTAACCGTGTTTTTAGATTTTTAATTTGGGTCCCGTTTTTTAAATTGGTCTTCATTGAGGTCCAAAGGGTCCAAAATTAAACTTAGTTTGATTTTAACAAAAATTGAATTCTTGGGGTTCTTTGATATGCTGAATCTAAACATGTGTTTAGATTTTTGATTATGGGCCCAGTTTTCAAGTTGGTCCAAGTTGGGGTCCAAAATTAAACTTTTTTTGATTTCAACAAAAATTGAATATATTGGGTTCTTTGATATGCTGAATCTAACCATGAATTTAGAATTTTTATTTGTGGGCCCCGCTATCAAATTGGTTCATATTGAGGTCAAAAGGGTCCAAAATTAAACTTTGTTTGATTTCATCAAAAATTGAATTATTGGGGTTCTTTGATATTCCAAATCTAACCGTGTATTTAGATTTTTAATTTTAAGTCCCGTTTTTTAAATTGGTCTACATTAAGGTCCAAAGGGTCCAAAATTAAACTTAGTTTGATTTTAGCAAAAATTGAATTCTTGGGGTTCTTTGATATGCTGAATCTAAACATGTGTTTAGATTTTTGATTATGGGCCCAGTTTTCAAGTTTGTCCAAGTTGGGGTCCAAAATTAAAACTTTGTTTGATTTTAACAAAAATTGAATATATGGGGTTCTTTGATATGCTGAATCTAACCATGTATTTTGATTTTAAACATTGGACCATAATAGGTAAATTAAAAAAATTCAAGTTCTTAGACCACATTCTTTCTGTGTCAGAAACCTATGCTGTGTCAAATATTTAATAACAATCCAAATTCGGAGCTGTATCAAGCTTGAATGTTGTGTCCATACTTGCCCCAACTGTTCAGGGTTCGACCTCTGCGGTCGTATCAAGCTGCGCCCCAGCGAAGCATTTTATTTTTATCATGCTTATACGATATTGATTGATAATTGGTTTAAAGTTTTATCATGACAAGTTACAGATCAAGTTCAAATTTTTGTTTCGGTCTAATAATTTTGTGCAGAGTTATGGTCCTTGGACTTGAAAAATTCACTCATATAATCAGTTTTCCACACTGTTTTTAGTCATGCTTGAAGATATTGACATGATATTTACCTTTTGTTTACACCATGGCAAATTATATAACAAGTTAGCATTTTGTTCCAGTATAATGAATTTTTTCCCGGTAGGGGACTATGTATTGCCATGCAATACTCTCAGAATGCTTGTTTATTTTAGTCTTTTTGTAATTTTTTATACATTGTATAGGTTTTAGTATGTTGTAAATCAAATATGAGAATTTGAGTCAAATTGGTGAAAATGAATTTGACAGCTTATGCCCCCTTAAAAGGCTGTTAGATTTAAATTTAAAAAACAAAAAACCAATCTTAAAATTTATTGGATGTACTTTATTATATCTTAACATAGCTGTTTTATATTTCACATTGTTTATAGTTTAAACGATATTTAGCGCTATAATGACTTGTCTTACCCAAAATTTAACTGTCACAACCCTAGGTCTATGGTGAACAGGGAGCAGACACTGTCTGGCAAACGGAATGAGTACATAAAACAAGAAAATGTCATTTATTTCATATAGAATATTATAATATAATTAAAATGATATCGGTTCGCAGAGAACCACTACCCTTCAGTAAGAAAACTGACAATCCTAGTCAATTAAGATTGGAGTCCAGCGCACCTACCACATGGGGGATTTGAACTCACAACCTCAGTGTTGACAGGCTAGTGAAACAGTAGTTCAACAACTTAGACCACTCAGCCACTGATTAAAATATAGATACTTTACATGAAATTTACCTTTACATGGGAGGATTAGCTCAAATGTCGACTCTAAAATTTAGCCCAAATCTCAACTTGCAATTGGCCCTAACATAGCATATATTTAGCCCAAATGTTACACCAATTAGCCCAAACGTGTATCTCCAGATCCCCTGTGTATATGTGGAAACTCAAAAATTGATTGATTCATGCACTTAGAATTTTTGTCAAACAATTAAAGTTTGCAGGATCTATTTTCACAGTAGGATTTCTCTCGGACTATAGAAGTTTATATAGATCTGACATCAAAATAATATGAATTCATCACTCATAAGAGAGCAGGGCTTTTTCTTGAATTTAGTAGGTTTTGAAATTCAAACCTTTGACTATGCTTTTATAAAAATATAAAACTCCATTTATAATACATTTTTTAAATATGCATTAAAATAACTTATATTTTTTGTTTTATTAGTGAATCTGTCAGACCATTTGTCAAGCGTTAAACATGTTATCTTGGTATTATCTGGTAAAGGAGGTGTTGGGAAGAGTACAGTGGCTACACAATTAGCAGTAGGATTGAAACAAAAAGGCAAAAAAGTAAGATTTAGTGAATATCTTGATAATAATAAATTTAAACATCCAGTTTTAATTGTATTTATTGATAGCAAACTGCCAGCATTCATTGACACTGTCACATTTCTTGGGTAAAGATTGCATGAAATGCAATCAAAACCCTATGGAAACTGACTTGATATCTAAATCTTCCAAGGTTTATCACTATTTTTGAGATACACAAAATATAGTGCTTTGATCATAACATTCTATACATCCTATCCATGAAATCCAGAAATTTATCAATGGAATACCGTAAATTGGGAAATTTTGGCGTCAGGATATTTTGGCGGTTTTCTCTCGAAAGGCATGTGTTTTATTTTGGTGTGTGTAATTTTGGTGCTTCGTCCAATTGATATGTTTAATTTTAGAACAACAGTAGTGAGCAAGCTCATTCATATTTGCCTTTATTTACCCGTTTATTGACAAAATATCATTGAATTTCTCAAACTAGAAACACGACAAAGTTAATTTAAGGAAGGAATCGGATACGGATGCAGTCTTCGCGCTGAACCACAGGCCTAGCAGCCCAGGCTTGTAAAATTGCTTTCAGGCCTGTAAAAATCAGCTCTACAGGCAAACAGAATCTAACTAAAATTTTCCAAAAAATTGAACTCTGGGCCTGTAGATTTAAAAGTTTATTGTGAAGACTGCGGATGCAATTGCAAATAATTCCGTATATCGTGGTTCAAAGCTGAAAGAAAATATGAAATAAAATCTTAAACATTAAAATCAGATGATTTATTTTTTACAAATATCATATGAAATAAATTTTAATCATCTCTTGCAATACATGTTAATCTATTGAAGATAAAGGATTACAAAGAGTTTTGATATTCTAATTACCAATAACGGCGTCTAATCAGCAATAGCTTTGCATTTTTATGACATGTGTGAATAAAAATTCATATTGTGTTTTCTTAACATTTTCATAAAATTGACAATTAAGTAAAAATTATATTGTGTTGTTGTCAAAGTATACCAGGTATTTATTTGCAGATTTGGCTATGTATGGAATTGTAGGAAATATACGGAAGATATAATAACATAAAATATTTTCCCCAACAATTAGCAGTACACATTGTCGTACCGGTACGCGATTTTGGCGTTTCATTTTTTAGTGTTTGTTTTATTTTCGTGTATTTAATTTTGGCACTTTCAATTGAGGCACCAAATAAACCAAAATAAAACTACAACCAAAATAACCCAATTTACGGTATATGCTCAGATATTCAAGTTACAAAATGATGTTATACTGGTCAAGAAAGGTGCAGGAATCTAATATCTGTTCTAAAAATATCAATGATGTTATTGTTAAAGAAATCTTTAAAATTGGAGTTATTGTCCTTTGTCCATAATTGTAGTTGAATCAACTAGAACCAATGCTTTATACAATGCAATGTTTAATTTTACTTCCTACTGATAACTTGAATCAATCATTACCCTTCTGTGCTTACAAGCACTTTGATTTTGCAATTTTAATAGAATAACCTTCATTAGGTACCGGTATGCAAAGCAAAATGCACATGATCTAGGAGCATAAAACATCAACACATGATCTAGGAGAATAAAACATCTACACATGATCTATGAGCATAAAAACCAAAAAGGGCCTAAACAAACAAAATCTGAAACAGATTACTCAAGTTGAATTTTCAACTTCAGTTCTAATGCAATTATGTAATTTTATTGTCTTGCCTGCTATGAAAGTTGCAGAATACAAGACATAGGGATTACAATCCGGCGGTAGCGGTGGCGAGTTTTTTCCCTGGAAATATATAAATGTATGGAAAATTGCATTGTAAGGTCTCTCAAGCTTACATTTCTCTAATATATTTTTAAAAATTCTTAAAGCAGTGCTGTTTAAAGAACAAAATTTTTTTTTTCAGATATTGCCCTTGATCATTTGAACTCTTTTCTATAATTTTCATTATTGTGACAATAACACCTTGTGAATGCAACTCCTCTGAGACCAAATTATAGAAACTTTCATACTTGGAAGGATTGTTAACCATAATGTGTAGTTTCTCATTTTGATCTGAACATTTTTACAGAATTATAGGACTTTGAATATTTTTGGAGTATCGTGACAATAACACCTAGTGAATGCAACTTCTCTTAGACCATTTGACAAGCTCTCATACTTAGTACTATTGTTTGCCATCATGTTAAAGTTGTATAACCATTTTTATTTGACGTTTTTATGGGAGTTGTTGGACTAAGACCGTTTGTTGGAGTATTGCAACAACAACACCTTGTGAACACAACTCAACTGAGACTCTTTTACAGAAACCTTGTGTATTTGATCATATTCTACAGTCACTTTGATCTGATGTTTTTCAAGGAGTTTTGGGACTTTGACTATTTTTGGCGTCAACAATGTATTAGTTTGTGATTAGGTCAGTTTATGGGGAACCACTAGTGGTAGGTCAATGGTATTTGGTATGTAGATGCATTAGCATTTGCAAATCTCATTTATATTGAGATTATTTGGTCCTTCCCCGTCAGTCATGGTCTATTGACTTTAAATGTTTTGCAAAGTTTACATGTTAAAGTTTGTGATTAGATCAGTTTAAGAGGAGCCACTAATGTTAAGTCAATGCTTTTTGAGATGCAGTTGTATTAGTATTTGAAAGTTTCTTTTCATTGGAGATAATATGGCACCATGCCCTCATCAGGGTTCATTGACTTTGAAACTTTTACATTGTTTACAAGTTAAAGTTTTTGTTTTGGTTAGTGTAAAGGGCACCACTTATAAGTCAATGGTATTTGGTATGCAGTTTTATAAGTATTGGCAAATTTCATTCCATGGAGGTTATTTGGTCCTGCACATTAAGTCACGGTTCATTGACTTTGAATGTTTTGCATAGATTACATGGTTAAATATTGCCATTTGGATTCAATAAATGGAATCTGATGTTCAGTAGTTGTCGTTTGTTGATGTGGTTCATAAGTGTTTCTGGTTTCTTGTTTTTATGCCCCCGCCGTAGCGGTGGGGGCATAAAGTTTTACCCTTGTCCGCCTGTACGTACGTCCGTCCGTTAGCCCAAAATTGGTTTCCGTTCTCTAACTTGAGTTTGCCTCAACCAAATGTTATGAAACTTATACACAATGCTTATTACCAGAAAACACAGATCAAGTTTGAATTTTGGTAGCGTCACTTTAACCATTCTAGAGTTATGACCCTTTAGAAATGGAAAAATTGCAAAATTTTTATTTTCTTCTAAATATCAAGTTATTTTTATAATTGGAGTTATCTACCTTTGTGGATGATTATAGTTGAATCAACTACAACCAATGCTTTATACAATGCAATGTTTAATTTTGACTTCCACTGATAAAACACAGATCAAGTTGAATTTGGGTAGTGTCACTTTAACCATTATTGAGTTATGCCCCTTTATAAATCGAAAGATTGCAAAATTTTAGTTTCCATTCTGTAACTTAAGTTTGCCCCAACCAAACATTATGAAACCTATACACAATATTCATTACCACACAATTAAGATCAAGTACAAATTTTTTGTTTCTGTTTTCTAACTTTAGTTCAATCAAATGTTAGGAAACTTATACACAATGCTTATTACTACATAATACAGATTAGGTACGAAATTTGGTGGTGACACTTTTACCATTCTTGAGTTATGTCCCTTTATAAACATAAAAATTGCTGAATTCTTCGTTTCCGTTCTCTAACTTTTGTTTGTCTCAACCAAATGTTTTAAAACTTATACACAACAGTTCTAGAGTTATGCGTGTTTACAAGTAGAAAAATTGCTGAATTTTTAGTTTTTATACGACCGCAAAAAAAATTGGCGTCGTCGTCGTCCGAAGACACATTGGTTTTCGCACTCTAACTTTAGTTTAAGTGAATGGATCTCTGAAATTTTACCATAAGGTTCAATACCACAAAAGGAAGGTTGGGATTGATTTTGGGGGTTATGTTACCAACAGTTAAGGAATTAGGGGCCCAAAAGGGGCCAAAAATAAGCATTTTTATACGACCGCAAAAAAATTTTGAGGTCGTATATTGGTATGACGTTGGCGTCGTCGTCGTCGTCCGAATACACAATGGTTTTCGCACTCTAACTTTAGTTTAAGTGAATGGATCTCTATGAAATTTTACCATAAGGTTCAATACCACAATAGGAAGGTGGGGATTGATTTTGGGGGTTATGGTACCAACAGTTAAGGAATTAGGGGCCAAAAAGGGGCCGAAAATAAGCATTTTTGTAACTTCCAGACATAACTTGTGTGTTAGCATATGGATCTCTTTGACATTGTACCACAAGATTCCATATCACAAAGGGTCAATGCTAGGATTGATTTTGGGGTTAATTGCCTCAAAATTTTAGGAATAAGGGGCCAAAAGGGGGCAAAAAACAAGCATTTTTCTAGTTTCATGACAATAACTTGTGTGTAAGTGTATGGATCTTTCTGAAATTTTACTACAAGGTTCCATTTCACAAAGGGAAAGCTGGAATTGAGTGTTGTGGTAATTGCCCAAAACGTTTAGTAATAAGGGGCCTAAAAAGGGGTTTAAAATAAGCATTTTTTAGTTTCTAGACAATAACTTGTGTTCAAGTGTATGGATCTCTCTAAAATTGTATTACAAGGTACCATACCACAAAGGCAAGGCTGTTATTGAGCTTGGTTTGGGGGGAAAGGGGGGTGGGGGGTGATGAATCATAAGGGGGGCGGGGGTCAAAAAAGGGGTAATTTTTTTTTTTCCTTTTTTTTTTGTTTAAAATTTACATTTTAAGTTAGTTATTTTTTATCATGAAGAGAAAGTAGGAATTGAGTTTTGGGGTTAATTGCTCAAACATTTATGAATAAGGGGCCAAATATTGGTCAAAAATAAGGAATTTTTATACGACCGCAAAAATTGAAAATTTTTTGGTCGTATATTGGTATGACGTTGGCGTCGTCGTCGTCGTCGTCGTCGTCGTCCGGCGTCGTCCGAAGACACATTGGTTTTCGCACTC